CCCCCCCAGGACCCACCCGCGGGGCCGGGGGGCGCCGGGCCCTGCTCCGCCATCCCGTCCCCACGTGATCCTAATTAACCCCCCCGCTAATAGCGACACATTCCGGGAGGGATTTGGAGCGGGGGGTGTGAGGGATGACCCCCCCACACTTAGGGCACTTAGGGGCGAGGCCACCTGTCAAGGGAAGAAGTGACACCCGGGGGGCGGGAGGTGGGACCCCCGAACATCGGGGGGAGTTTCTCGGTTGTTTCTCCGCGCCCCCTCCCCACGAGTGGAGCCACCTGCGAGCCGCGGTCCGGTGGGACGGGGGAAGCGGCAACAGCGTGGAGGGGGCGGCTTTCCGGGACACCGGGGGCTTTCTGCGCACCCCGTGCGCTCCCCGGGATTCGCTTCCCCCGTCCCGGCGGCACCGAGCGGTGCCGGGGCAGTGTCGCCCCCCGGGCCGGGCGGGGACAAAGGGCGAGTGACCAGCGGCTCCATTTCCGGCGGCGGACAATGCCCCGGCCGTGGGGGCACAGCGCCGCCCGCMGCCCCTCCCGAGCTGTGCCCGGGGGTCCCCCCGCACCGGCCCCGCTTTGGGGAGAGCCCCCCGGGACAGAGCTGGGGCTGGGGCGGTGTCTGCGCCCGCCGGGACCGCTCCACGCGGGGCGAATCCCGCGTGGTGTCACCAAGGGGAGCAGCGGGGGGTTCTGAGCGGTCACCGGGCACGGCGGGGACAGCGGTGACACCCGCGGGGGGACCCCGGGCCGGGCGGGGCCGGAGCTGAAATCCCGCGTGGGGAATCCCGCGCGAAGGCTCCGCTGCCGCCGCCGCTGGCCGTGGTGCTGAACGGGCGGCTCTGTCCAGGGTCCTGGAGCTGCCCTTCCTCCTCCTCCTGCTCTTCCTCCTCCTCTCCTGCCCTTCCTCCTCCTCTCCTGCCCTTCCTCCTCCTCTCCTGCTCTTCCTCCTCCTCTCCTACCCTTCCTCCTCCTCTCCTTCTCTTCCTCCTCTCCTGCTCTTCCTCCTCTCCTGCTCTTCCTCCTCTCCTGCTCCTCCTCCTCCTCTCCTGCTCCTCCTCCTCCTTCTGCTCCTGCCCCGCTCCCCCCGCCTGTCCGGGAACTCTTCTTTGCCCCTTCCCCGGAGAGCCTCGCAGCCCCGCTGGGCTCCCGCTCACGGACGGCAGAGGAGAAGGAGGAAGAGGAGGAGGAGGAGAACGGTTTTTCCCTGAGCAGCCCCTCAGGACTCTGTCGGGTGACCCACGGGACACGGGGAGCGCGGGAGATGCCATCACTCACCCACACGTGATGTCACAGGGTGTCACCTCCTGTCCTAAGGGGCACAAACCGCGCTGGGGTGGAAACTCCACGGCTCTCTCATCATCATCACTCCGCAGTCTGTTCCCCAAAGCCGAGGAGAAGGAGAGAAGGGTCGGGCCAGTGTTTCCCGTGGGATTCTCACTCCCATCCCCGAGCAGGCTCTGGCACAGGGCTGGCACAGGGCTGGCACAGGGCTGGCAGAGGGGACGAGGCTGGTGGCACCACGGTTTCCATGTTCACACCATCCCCTCTCTGCCGGCACCCGGGTGGGGATTTGGGATGGTCCCAGCGGCTCCGGGAGCAGGGATGCGTCTGGCCCCCTCTCCTGGCAGCAAGGGCCGGCTCCAGAGGTTCCATATTTATCCCCATTTTCCTCTCGGTTGTGGAATAACCGGGGCAAGAGGGGAGAAAATAACCCAGGAGTTGTGGGAGACCCCTCCAAATGGCTCTCACTGTCTCAGCTCATCCCTGCTTCCATCCCATCTCCTTCCCTGTTTTCCCCCAGTTGCTCGGGATTTGGGGACCCTGCATGTTCTGCTCCCAGGCAAAGGGACCGGGGAAGGAGTGAGCCCCTGCTTTCCTCCAAACAAATCCTTCAGAAAATAATCCACCAGCTCCCCCTCCAGCCCCGTCCTGACGGACAGAGGTGACCAGTAGCCCCAGAGGCATTTTCCTGTATTCCTAATGCAGAACAATTCCCCAGCACTCACCAATTTCTGCCCATCCTCAGTGACTTTCCACCTGTGTCACTCAGCCCCATCCCTGATCACGGATCACCCCTTTCCATCCCAGTTCCAGCGTCACAGCCCCGCAGCAGCAGCGGCCCTGGGCCATATTTCTGTGTGTGGTGTATTTGTTTTCGGGGCCTGTTGAATGGCAAATGCGAAAGGGAAGGGAACTCCTTCCTGTTCTTTCAGAGCCGGCCGCTGTGCCCTGCTCGGCTTCAAGGGAATAGCCGGCAAAGCGGCCGCTTTCACAAATAATGGCTTCATTAGATTGAAAGAAGTGGACAGTGACCTCACTGAAATGGACTTTGTGACCCCTGCTGACCTCTGGCCCCGGCTCTGACAGCCTGTAAATCTTCCCCCGCGGCACGGCCGGGGCGAGGGCAGAGCTCTGTGAGCGCAGGGCCGGTGCTGCTGTCCTGGGTGCACCCACGGAGCTGCCCCGGGGTCCGTGCAGGGCAGGGTGAGCCCCGGGGGACGGGCAGTGCCCAGGCACGGGGTCACAGCACTGCCAGAGACGGGCTCTGGTGTCCCCAGGGTGCTGCAGAGCCCTCCGGGGTCCTGGGGACCTTGGACAAAGGTGTCACCTGGGCTGCGGCTCCAGTGCCATCCCCCAGCACAGTCACTGTCACCGCTGAGCTCAGACGCAGCCCCCGAGCTCCTGCCAAGGACAGCTGTGCCTGTCCCTGCCCACCCCGCGGGCACAGCTCTCCTGGCTGCACACAGACCCCCAAAACCCTCACTGAGCCCCCTCCACCCCCTCCTGTGGGCACAGACCCTTCCCTCCAGCCCCCAGGTTCCTCACCCACCCAGCCCAGCACACCGGTGGCCACTGCCCAGTCCTGCCAGGCCGTCTGCTGGTGGGGAAACTGAGGCACGGGGGGCAGCAGTGGGTGCCTGTGCTGGGGACCGCACCGTGCCCTGCCTGAGGCTGGCACTGCCCCCATGGCACTGCCCCCCATGGCACAGCCCCCCCTCCATCCCACCTCTCTCCTCCCACCCTGCACGCTCGCTGCTGACCTTTGGCTACCAAGCAATCAATAAAGGAGGCCATGAAGCCGCTCCTCCCCCTCACTGGCCCCCCGCACCCCCCGCTCGCCCCGTGCCTGGACAGGCCCAGCCGGGATTGAGGGATCTCCCAGTGCCGGGGGGACAGTGACGCTCGCGTGGTCCCCAAGGGCTCCCTGAGCAGGCAGCGCCTTCCCAAAATTCCAAAAATGCCCCTCTGGAGGTTCTCTCTGCCTGCAGAGTGTCGGGGGTACCCCAGAGCTCTCGGGATGGAGCGTGGTCACCCTGCTGCCATCCCAAAAGGGGCTCCCCGGGGCACTGGGAAGGTGAGGCAGGGATAAAGGTGGGCAGGGACAATCCTGTCCCCTGGCTGCAGCGATGGGCTGTGCCCAAATGTGGCAGCTCCCTTTGATAAAAGCCCCGAGGCATCAATCAGCAGCTGATTGATCGATCGGAGGCAGAGCGGGCATTGATCAGGATTTCAGCCCATACATATTCCTGCTCCCTGATAAAGGAGAATCGATAGCTGAAAGATATTCCCTGGAGGCTGCAGCCCCCCTCAGACCAGAGCTCCTTGAATCGCCCCACCCCTGTTCAAACCTCACTCTCCTCGACAGAAAACCACAGTAGTGGGGGAGAAAATTGGTCTGGGGGAGCCAGGAGGGCCCAGCAGGATATTGAGGAAAGGCAGAGCCTCCCTCTCCTCCTCAGCTGAATCTCACCTCTCAGAGCATCCGCCTGTCCTGAATCTTCCTCCCCTCACTGCTGGTCTGGCGAGCAGGGTTTTCATCTTTTCATCCAAGTGCTGGTCAGGGTGATCCCGAGGACGCTGAGCGGGCTGATCCATCCCCACCCATCGCCTTCGGAACCTCCAAACTGCAGCAATGCCAGGGCAATCTCTCACCCTGGCGCTGACACCGGGACAGTCATTGCAGCTGCGGCCAGAGCAGGGCCCGCCCGACCCCATGGGAGTGGGGACAGGCACCCAATGTTCACCCGGGCCCGGGGGAGGGTCATCTTCCTCTTCCTCTTCCTCTTCCTCTTCCTCTTCCTCTTCCTCTTCCTCTTCCTCTTCCTCTTCCTCTTCCTCTTCCTCTTCCCTTTCCCCTTCCCCTTCCCCTTCCCCTTCCCCTTCCCCTTCCTCTTCCTCTTCCTCTTCCTCTTCCTCTCTCACCTCTCATTCCCTCCTGCCTGAAGTGAGGATGACTCCGGGACGCCCCCGCAGCCCCGGGAGGATTCGGGGTGCCGTGGGGCTCCCTCCGGCCCCGTTTCCCCGGCAGGAGCAGAGGCTGAGCCCGTCCCCGCCCGCGTTCCGAGTCCCTCCCTTTGCACACAGTGACTCAAAGCCCAGGCTCGCCCCGGTGTCCCTCCAGTTTCTCCAGTGCCTGGGAACTGGTTTGCAGTGGGGAGGGGCTCCCCAGCGCCCACCGAACCCTCCCCGGGCAGCGCGGGGTCTGTGGAAGGGAGCTCGGGGCGGCTCGGCACGCACACACTCTTGGCACACGCTTCCACACGCTTGTACATGCTAAAAACACGCGTGCACACGCAGTGACACAGCCCGGACACACCGGGACCCCAAACCTGCCCCTCCTGCGAGCCCACGGCGCTGGGGGGACGCGGGGACAGATCCCGCTCCTGTGCCCGAGCCAAGAGGAGCAGCAGCCGGACCTCCGTGGGTGCTCACGGCGAAGAGCACGGGAGGGGACAGGGACTTGGCAAACCCGGCAGAAAGAGCAGGGCTCTGCCTCAGTTTCCCCAGCACGTGCGCGGTGTCACCCAGAGCTGGGTGGCCCCGGGCGCCCCAGCCGGAGCTGAACTGTGGCCACCAGCGCCGGGCTGGCGGTGGCCGGGGAGGCTCCTGGGCTGGGCCAGCAGCCGGGAGTGGTGGCCCCGGGGTGAGGCTGGCACCGCAGCGGGCTCCCGCGGGCTGGGGCGGAGCGSGAGGGCAGGGCGAGGATACGGGCGAGTGCTGGCCCTGCTGCGCTCCCAGCCCGGCCGGGACAGGGCCCTGCGCCCCGGGGTCAGGACTCCCGCGGTGGCCCAGGGCTACTGTGACCTCCGGTCCATCCCCAAGGCGGTGTGAAGCCCCTGGAGAGCCCCAGCCCTCTGAGATTTTGGGTGATCTCCCCGCATTGGGAGCCCCTCGGGAAATGCAGGGCCGGGGGCTCCACGCGGGATCCCCAGAAAGCCGATTAACCCCGGGGAGCGATCCCAGCTCTGGGGACCCCCAGAAAGCCGATTAACCCCGGGGGTGACCCCAGCTCTGGGGACCCCCAGAAAGCCGATTAACCCCGGGGAGCGATCCCAGCTCTGGGGACCCCCAGAAAGCCGATTAACCCCGGGGGGCAGCCCCAGCCCTCGGGACCCCCGGCCCCTCACCACAGTGCGCTGGGACCCTGCCAGCCCCACGGCCCGGCCGATGCTGGGGGCACCGTGCTGGCCGGAGGTGCGGTGACAAAACTGGTCCCTGCTGTCCCCTGTGAGGTCACCATCGCCCTTCACTCGGGTGGGTGCTGGGCTGGGGATCCGGGGAGCCCGGAGCCACCCAGGGCGGCCGAGCTCCCTCCCGGCGCTGCTGAGTCGGAGGGAACGGGGGAGCGCGGTGCTGGAACCAGCCCGACCGGCTCCCCGGCTGTCAGCACCTGAGGAATGCCAAACCTCCGCTGCGCCAGGGCTGGGTGCTCAGGGCTGGGTGCTCAGGGCTGGGTGCTCRGGGTGACTCTGCCGGTCCGCCCAGCTGTGCGGTGTGCACAGAGCAGCACGGCGAGCCCGCTCGGCGCGGCACGGCACGGCACGGCACGGAACAGACCCCGGTGGGACCCTCGGCCGGCAGGTACACGGGGGTGCGGGGTGCGGAYCCCGGGCAGGCGGGGAGGGGGTTCTGCGGTGCTGGGGGAGGGGGCACCGCCGCTCCGGTCCCTCTGCCACCCCCGGGGGCTGCGCGGTGCCCGGACCGTGCCCCTGGTGCTGCGATGGGACCCCGCTCCTCCGGGACCAGCACTGGCCAGGGAGGGGATGCGGTGGGAGGTGGGGGCTGAGCCMAACTCTGATCCTCTCACCTTCAGTCCCTCAATTTGGGGGGCTGCTGGGGTTGTAATCCAGCTCCTGCCATCAAAGTGCATCCCAAGAGGCACCAGAGTCAGCTCGGGCTCCTCTATGTCCGGTGGCCTCACGAGCTGGGCTGAGGGGACAGCGGGGCTCTCCTGTCACCCTGTCCCGCTCCATGCGGGGCACACGGCTCAGAGTGGGGGGACACAGGGACAGCGAGGGGGGCGGGGGTTCCCTGTCCTCGCCGTGACCCTCAGCCCGTGCCGCAGCCCAGCCCAAGCCCTGATTTTCCTGAAGGTGGCAGGGCCGCTCTCACCCCGCGGTGACAGAGCTCAGCCCAACGTGGCCGGAGGCTCAGCTTAATCCGTGGTCACCGGCTCAAAGGCAGCCACAGCTGCTGCCCTCGGCCCCTCYGTCCCTCCTGAATATTGAACAGCCCCTCGTGCCTTTGACCTGGGTGCTGGGTGACCCTTTGGGGTGACGGGAGGCAGCAAACGAGGTCAGTGGCTTGGCTTGGCCTGGCCAGAGGGGATTAATTAGAGCCRTGCCCGGTGCCCCGATGTGGCAACAGCACTGCACCCAGCCTGGCACGTCCAGACGGGTGGGGATGGCCAGCGGGGCAACCAGGGAGCTGCAGGCTCTTGTCCTCTTGTCCTTGCATCCTCATGTCCTCATGCTCTTGGGCCATTGATGCAACAGGAATTATTTGTGCAGAAAATGGGGTGCTGGGGCAGAGCAGGGCTCGGGGTGAGCTCCTTCCCCAGCACCTGTGGGGTCCAGGGTTACCCAGTGCTGGATCCAGCTGCAGGGAGGGCATGGGATGGGAAACACAGACCTGGAGATCTTTGGAAATCCAGCTCCAGGTGAGAGGCAGGATGCTGAGTCCTGCCTCCCCCCAGCACCGTGATGCACCATGTCAGCATCCCTGTCCCTGTCCCTGTCCCGTCCTGGAGCCGTGGGCATGGCCAGTGCATCCATCCCTTCTCCACTGGGGAATGCCATGACCCTGGGGATCCAGCTGTGACCCTGGGGATCCATCCAGCTGTGGCCCTGGGGATCAGCTGTGACCCTGGGGATCCAGCTGTGGCCCTGGGGATCAGCTGTGACCCTGGGGATCCAGCTGTGGCCCTGGGGATCCAGCTGTGACCCTGGGGATCCATCCAGCTGTGACCCTGGGGATCCAGCTGTGGCCCTGGGGATCAGCTGTGGCCCTGGGGATCCAGCTGTGACCCTGGGGATCCAGCTGTGACCCTGTCATCCAGCTGTGCATTTGCCCATGTAGCTGTACAGCCCCACCCAGGCTGGCCCCAGCCTCGAGCGGTGCTGGCTGTCCCAGACAAGGTCTCATCGCCTTCCGGAAAAATGACACAAACTCTTCCTATCTGTTCTGGAAAGACCTGCTGGGCCGGGGAGAGCAGGATCTGGAGGGCGCGTGGCGGGCTGGCAGGAGGGGCAGGCAGCTGCCTGTACCCGCAATTCCCCGCCATTCCCCGGCCCCGATCCCCTCCGGGACTGGGAAAACCCAACCTGCCAGTGTTGGATTCATCCCATCTGGCTGGYGCACGACGAGGGCCCCTCCCGAGGTGTCCCCCAGGGAAAGTAGCCCTGGGATTGTGCAGGAATGTGTCCCCATTCCCTGATGGAGCCCTCAGTCCCAGCCTCGGGCTGACCCCAAATCCCCATCCCTGCCTCTTGTCCCCGCAGCTGGGCGGTGACACCGAACAGCTCCTAAYTGGGAGATGCTGGGATGTGGGTGCACTTTGAGCTCCCTCCCCAGCGCCTGCTGTGTCAGCTGCTTCCCGATCCCAAACCCAGCAATAAAACCCTTCTGGGACAGGGATGTGGCCACAGCACAGGGACACTTCCACCGACACCCCCCTGAGCTGAGGTGGCACATGCATCCCTGTCCCCTGCCCTGAGCCTCAGGGACCACAGCCATGCCCACCCTGCAGCACCCAACACCAGGACGTGGAGCTGGGTGCTGAGATCATCCTGGTTCAGGGGGTGAGCGCTGGGTGATCAATCCCAGCTCATTTCCTCGTCCTGGAAAAGCTGCAGAGTGGACAGAGCCATCCCACCTTTGCCACACAGCCACAGGGGAGGGTCAAGGGGTGATGCTGCTCACGTCTCCACCTCCCCTGCAYACCCCGCGGCTGCCCCAGCCCTGCTCCCGATCCCAGCCGGGCYCTTTCCCCCATGGAGCAGCTTCCCTGTTGTTTTCTGGGCTTGTTTGTTTGCTGCATTTGCTGACTCGGCGCAGCCCTGCTGCCCGCCTGACTCATCGCACAGCTCGGGGCACGGCGCATCCTGCACGCTCCGCTGTGCCCTGCCGGCTCTGCCAGAGCCCACCACCATCCCTGCTGGGCACGGCAGCGCTGGCACGGGCAGGCAGAAGGACCCACTGTGCCCCCACACCCTGCRCCTGCCAGGATAGATGGCATGAGCACCACAAAAAGCCCCAAAGCCACCTCTGCGTTCACGCGATTCCCCCAAAATGTCCTGCAGGGTCAGAGGGAGCTCTGTGGGTTTGGAGGGTCGGATTTGGAGGCCAGGGCGGGATGGTTGCTGRTTGCTCTCAGCTYTCCCAGGGACTCCTTCTCTCCCCGCAGCTCTGCCAGTCCCAGCGTGGCGGCCGCAGAGGCTGAGCCCGGCACGTTACGGGACCGCGGCGCTCCCTGCCATAGATCTCCCATTCCGGCACTCCAAGGGCAGGGGCTTCATCTCCAGCGCCGAGCTCAGCATGAAGCAGGCGGCCGCGGGCGCTTCCGAGGGCCGGTCCCGTTTCCAGAAGGTCTCGCTGGTGTCGCGGCGGCTGGAGAGCACCGGGAGCGCCCGGGGCCGCGACGGGAGCCCCTCCCGCGTGTCCCTCCTGCTGCAAGCCTGGGARAAGGAGATCGTGGAGAAGAAGGGCTCCAGCCCCGCCACCCCGAGCCACTCGTCCTCCGTCAGCCTCCGCAAGGAATTCACGGCGCACGGCCCCATCTTCTCGCAGGTCTATTCCCCGGCGCAAAGGCCCCGGCGCCAGGACGAGCGGGGAAAGGGGGGTGAGGGCGGTGAGGACACCCCCACCCCGGCCGGTCCCCCCCGCGAGGTGCCCGTGCACAGGGAGAGCTACKTGCACGGCACCCTCCTGCCCACCCGGCCCGCCGAGCGTCCCGCGGGTGGTCCCGGTGACCCTCCCGGTGCCCCGTGCGCCGCCAAGCCCGGCCGCGTCCCTGCCCTGCCCAGGGCCAGGCAGGTCACGGTGCTGCGGAGCGGCAGGGACGCGGGCGGGCCGGAACCGCGGCCGGTGGAGGGACGGGAAGCCCAGAACGGGACACACGACACCGGCGAGCGGGACAGCTCCGGGCAGGACGGCAGCGGCTCCGCGGCGGCTGCAGAGGGCAGCGAGAGCTCGCCGGGCACCACGGAGACCGCTGGGCTCTCGGCTCCGGAGAATGACTTGCCCCAAGCCGAACCCCGGGCAGTGAACGAAGCTCTGGGAGCCGGCGACAGGCCCGGGGACCCACAAACCAGTCCGACCAGCTCCCCGCAGTGTCCCTCGGCAGGCGCCGCTGGCCAGGCGGATCCGGATGGCACAGGTGAGGGAAGCGTGGCAGACGGGAATGGCACCACTTCAGCCACGCCACCGAGGACAGAGAGCTCCCCGGGAGCTGGCAGCACCCCCGAGAGCCCCTCCTTGGAGGTGGGCGATGGTCCAGAGCCTTCATCCGAAACACCAGCAYCAACAAAGGCTGAGATTGAGCTGGAGTGGGATGAGCCCATGGAGAACCCCCAGGGCACAGCCCAAGAGCCCGAGAGCATCTCAGAGCCCCCCACCGAGCCCCCAGCCCCTGAYCCCCCAGCTGAGAGCCCCTCGGACACGACCGAGGAGGATCCCGAGCTGCTGGTGGACATGGAGATCTTGGTGGACACTCTGCGCAACATGGAGCCCTCGGAGATGCGGAAGGCGCCCAAGGGCCCGCGGCAGCCCCGGCCGTTGGCGCTGGGTCGCTGCTCGGCTCTGCCCCCCATCCACGAGGACCGCGTGGCCCCCCGTGCCCCCGTGTCCCTGCCCGAGGCYCTGCGGGAGCTGCTGGCGCGGGGCCCGGCGGGGTGGCCCCAGGAGACCCCCGAGGAAGAGGAGGAGATCGAGAACCCCTACCTGAGCCCCGAGGAGCGGGCGGCCGCGGGGACCCTCCGTGCGGTGCCCRGGGACAGCGTGGCRGGSGATGGGTGGCTGGAGGGGGGCTCASTCCTGGGCACACTGGGAGCAGATGAAAAAGCCAAACTGGTGGCTRGGGGACCAGCCGAGCAGAGCGTCCTCTTCCGAGGGAATGTCCTCAAGGGCATGTCCCTGCTCTCCCACTTTTTGGAGCAGCGGGCAGCTGGAGCTGATGAGGGCAAGCCCTACTCCCGCCTGGGCAAGAGTGTGCTCTACGGCCGCTTCGTGTCCCCCGGCACCGCCSTGCTCGAGCTGCCCGACAGCGATGGGGGCACGGGCTCACCCTCCCTCAGCGACCACAACGGGCTGGGTCCTGGTGGCCATTCTGGCCCTGAGATGGCAGTGCTGCAAGCCCTGGGTTCTGGCTCTGTCCCTCCTGTCCCCGAGGAGCCAGAGAGCACCGTCACCCTGTGCCCCACCGATGTCCTGGTGAGTGAATCCAACACAGCACTCAGGGRAACGCTCTCCTTTCCTGGGAGTGTGGGAAGGTGCTGGGGGCTGAACCCTGGAGCATCATTCCCTGTTCCCAACAAGCAGGGAAGCTATGGGGTGAAAGTGCGGGTACTGGGAGGGCACTGGGACAGGTTATGGGAGGTGATGAGAGGATACTGGGATAGGTGATGAGAGGATACTGGGATGGGTGATGGGAGGGCACTGGGACAGGTTATGGGAGAATACTGGGATGGGTGATGGGAGGATCCACTGGGATGGGTGGATATGAGGTCAAGCGATGGGAGGATGCCACCACAGGAGCTGGGAGGGTCCCGTGCGGGTGACAGGAGGGTCGGGGACAGGCTGGAGGCTGATCCCCAGCAGGGCAGGAACGCTCGAGGTGTGGCTGCTCGGGGCGGTGGGAGGATCTGGCAGACGCCAGACGCGAGGCTGCGGCTGCGGCTCCCTTGGGCTGCGGGGAAATGATGGCTGGGGCAGCCCACGTTCCTCCKCGCTCCTCACCCGCCCGCCCCCTCGGCTCTTCACAGCGGGAGGACAAGGAGGGCTTGGAGAAGATCAACACAAGACCTGGCAAGGTACAGGGAAGGCGGTGGGGCCGGGCCGGGCTGGCTGGCCGGGGCGTGGCGCGGTGTGGCAGCACTTCCCGACCGTGTCACCCCTTCCCAGATCATCCTCTACTCCGATGCCGGCTTCGCGGGGCAGAAAAGGGAGATCTGGGACGACATCCCCGACGCCACGTCCTGGGAGCTCTCACACACCATCTCCATCCGAGTCATCCGAGGCGGGTAGGGATCCGCGCCGGGGATATCGGCCGTGTCCCAGCCCGGTTCAGGAGTGACCGTGCTGCCGGTGCTCATTAGCGCGGATTCAGCACCGCGGCGGTGGCAGCACGTCCCCAGCCACACTCTGCCCCGAGATCAGCCGCAGGGCTGCGGCTCAAGCAGCATTTCCCCCCGCTCCCAGGTGGGTGATGTACGAGAAGCCGCGGTTCCACGGGCGCAARTGCGTCCTGGCCGAGGGGGACGTGGAGATCGACAACCCCTGGACAGCGTACGGGGAGAACGGACAGTCCCGGGGGAGCCGCCCCTTCCGCATCGGCTCCTTCAAGAGGGTGGTGCGGGTGAGTGCAGGGACCCCCGAGCCTCCTGGAGCCCCTAAGCAGAGGTACCGGAGCCTGGCACGCCGCTGTTCCCCCAGGATTACCGGACCCCCGAGATCAGCCTCTTCGCCGAGGAGAACGGGGAAGGCGCCCGGCTCCGCTTCACCGACTCGGCCGAGGACATCCGCACCCGGGGACAGGCGCTGGCTGCCGCCTCCATCATCGTTCACTCGGGCCTGTGAGTGGCACCCGGGGCTGAGGGTGGCCCCAGCAGGGACTGGAGCAGGCTGTGACACCTTTCCCCCGTTCTCCAGGTGGCTGCTTTACTCCAAGCCTTTCTTCGATGATGATCCCTATGTTCTGGAGCCGGGCGGGTACCCCAATTTAAAGGCTTGGGGAGCAAAGGACCCATCCATCTGTTCCATGCATCCCATCAGGCTGGTGAGTGCTGGCTTCTGGGGTGCCGGGGCTGGATCCAGAGAGTGGTGGGAGYGTGTTCTGGCAGCTCCTGGCTCCCATCAGCGTGGAAACAGGCCAAGCRTGGCTCTGGAAAGCTCTCCTGTGCTTTAGGGGTGGGGGAAAGCTTYAAAAGAGCTTCTTGAATGAAAACGACCCAAAAACCAGCTCAGGCTTTCAAGGGGGGTAGCAGATGTCCCTGCAAGGTCCTCTCCTGCCACCACAGCCTCACTGGGGATCTCTCTCCTTCCAGGGCAGCCCCGTTGTGGAGAGACCCGGTGAGCCACAGGTGAGCACTGGGGTGGGCAGCTCCAGGAGCTGTGGGCTGAGCTGGCCATGGCACCATTCTCACCCTGCCATGTCCTCAGGTGCTGATCTACGAGGCTGCAGCTTTCCAGGGCCGCAGCTTCACCATCAGCAGAGATGTCTATGACCTGAAATGCCTGCCCGAGCCAGCACTGTCCACTGYGGGCTCCCTGCGTGTCCTGGGGGGCTGGTGAGTGGCACGGAGTGGGCAGGGCTGGCATCCCAGGAAGGAGATGGTCACCCCTGGGAAAGGCTGTGGGTCACTTGGGAGAGAGGGTGTGGATTGTGTCCCCACAAAATCCTCTGGAGTCCTCACTGCCCGTGTCTGCCTGTGCCACAGCTGGGTTGGCTACGAGAAGGAAGGTTTCCGTGGCCACCAGTACCTGCTGGAGGAAGGGGAGTACCAGGACTGGAGGCACTGGGGCGGCTACAGCAAGGAGCTGGTGTCCCTACGGCTGATCCGGACGGTGAGGGCAGGAATGGGAATYGCTTGGGGATCAGAGAGAGCCAGGCACCCCCATCCCATCCTCACCCCACAAAGGGAGCTGGCCATGGGCTGGGATCCCCCAAACTCATCCAAGCAGAGCTTTGGGAGCTGTTCCCACCCTCCCCGGGGTGCCTGAGGTCAGGCAGGAGCCTGCTGTGTGTGTGCCCCTCCTCCTGACAGACCATGGGGCTTGGGGGGCCCTTCTCCCCACAGGATTTCTCGGACCCAGCGCTGGTTCTCTTTGAGGCCATGGACTTTGAGCAGGGCGCGAGTGTGGAGCTGAGCGAGGCGCTCCCTGATACGCAGCTGGATGGCTACGGCACYGTCACCCAGTCCATCCACGTGCTGAGCGGAGTGTGAGCGTGGGGAGGGGACATGGGGGGTGGCCAGGGTGGGGAATGAGCCAGCACTGACCTTTCCCCACAGCTGGGTGGCCTACGAGGGCCCCAACTACTCGGGGGAGCAGTACATCCTGGAGAAGGGGGTGTACCGCAACTGCGAGGACTGGGGGGCCAGCGACTGTCACATCGCCTCGGTACAGCCCATCCTGCAGGTGAGGGGACAGTCCTGCCTCACGGGACCCCTGGGGCTGGCGGGGGACACGGTCAGACACTCACCAGCCCCGCTCTGTTCGCTTCCAGGTCAAGGAACACAACGTCCACTTCGTCTCCAAGGTCAGGGGTGGTGGATGGGGAGGGGGACATGTTTCCCTGGGGGACACAGCCCCTTGTGGGGTGGTGCTGATGCCTTGCACCCCTCACCGAGCCCCTCTGCTCCCTCTCCCCAGATCCTGCTTTTCTCAGAGCCCGACTTCTCGGGGGATCACGTTGTGTTTGAGGAGGACCAGCAGGCCCTGCCCGAAGCCTTCGTCCCACGCTCCTGCAGAGTCTGTGGGGGCAGGTGGGGTGTCCCRGGGAATGGGGACAGGGACAAYAACCTGAACAGCTCTGTRGGGGTTCCYSAGGGGYGCTGGGGGTSACAGGGGGATGGATGCCTGCRGTGATGGCTCTGTCAGCCCCGGGATGTTCCTCCCCACAGCTGGATCCTGTTCGACGGGCGGGACTTTGCTGGGGAGCAGCACGTGCTGTCCGAGGGCGAGTACCCCACACTGGGTGCCATGGGCTGCCTCTGCTCCACCGCCATCCGCTCCCTGAAGAAGGTTCCGCTGGTGAGTTCCCTTCTCCCTTCCCTTCAGAACCCCCGAGGTTTTTGCACCCCAAGTTCTGGTCTCCACCCCTGGGACCCTCACTCCTCCCCCGTCTCTGCCCCCAATCCCGCAGTTTTTCTCGGAGCCCTCCATCTTCCTGCACGGCCTGGAGTGTTTCGAGGGGAAGGAGATCAAGCTGAACTCCGAAGTGCGGAGTCTCCAGGCRGAGGGTTTCAACAACCACGTGCTGTCGGTGCGGGTCAAAGGCGGGATGTGAGTGAATCCCTGTCCCTCAGCACCCCGTGGGTGTCTCCTGCCACCCGTGGTGACCTGTCCCATGCCATCCTGCCCCTCYAGCTGGGTGCTGTGCGAGCACGGTGACTTCCGAGGGCGGCAGTGGCTGCTGGAGTGCACCGAGATCACCAACTGGCTGACCTACAGCGGGCTCCAGCACGTGGGGTCCCTCTACCCCATCCGCCAGGTGAGTGGCACCTTCGGGAGGGGACAGGGCACTGGCACCTGSTGGGGTGAACCCCAAAACCCCGGGGCACCAGGCTCATGTGGGGATGAAGAGCTGCCAGCCCACTCTGGGTGGGCTGGGGGATCCTGGAGAGCAGCAGCCTGCARCTGGTAGCTGTGACACAGGAAACGTGCCAGCACCTTGGCACTGTCACCCCAGATTCCTGTCCCCCACCCCTGGGAGTGGCCGTCTTTGTGGCGAAACGCTCCCTGTGGGCAACTGCCTTGTAAAATCCATGGCATCCCAGCGTGGTGAGCCGTGCCCGTGGCAGCTACGAGGGACAGGTCACGGTCACAGCCATCACCCTGGGGAGACCTGGGAGCCTTTCAGGGGGAGAACAATGAGGAAAACACCCCAGGGCTCCAGGATCTCCCCCCTTCCCAAACCCCCAGCCAGGTGAGGTCCTGGAGGTGCACCCAGCAGGGTTTTTTGGGTGCAAACCCCAGGTTTCTGTCGTTGCAGAGACGGATYTATTTCCGCATCAGGAGCAGGGAGCTGCAGCTCTTCCTCTTGGTCCCTGACGATGTGGAGGACATGAAGGCGGGGCGGGTGGTGGTCTCCAGCCCGAGCGAGCAGAGCAGCTCTGTCTGGTACTACGAGGACGGGCTCATCAAAAACCAGGTCAGGGCTCAGGTGTGACAGCCAGCGCCGCCGAGGGGACGGGGCCACCCCTGGCAGGATCCTGCTGGGGTACTCCCCACCCCACAGCCATCTCACAGGGATTATAACAGCTTTTCCCAGCTCTGACCTCAGCCTTGCCCCAGAGATCTGGTGATTGTCCCCTCTGAGGCTCCCCTGGAGATGTGAAGCCTTCCCTGCAGAGCTTTCATCACCCTCATCACCCCCAGCTCTCACTGAGGGGTTTTCCTGCTCATCCCGCAGTTTAAGGGAGATCCCTCTTTGTGTCCCTCGCAGGTGGCCCCCAACATGAGCCTGCAGGTCATCGGGCCGGCCGGGAAGGGCGCGAAGGCCGTGCTGTGGTCCGAGACWCGGATGCCACGTCAGACCTGGAGTGTGGATTCTCAGGGACGCATCCACAGCCAGATGTTCGAGGACATGATCCTTGATGTCAAGGGTGAGGTTTCAGCAGGGGCAGCTTTCCCAGGGCAGTCCAGAAATGGGGCACCCACCCCTTCAGCACCATCAGGAGTGGGGTTTGCCCTCCCCAAACCTTCCCCTCGCTCTGCAGGTGGCCAAACCTAYGACCGGGACCACGCCATCGTTTGGGACATGGCTGATGCAAGACCCACGCAGATCTGGGACATCCAAGTGCTATGAGGGGCAGAATGGGGACACTCTGCCAGTGTCCCCACACTGGGGCAGAAGGCCTCAAACCCCACCCACGCTGCATCCCAAGCTCCTCTGTGCCCCAGCTGCTGATGTGAAGGATGCCCATCAACCTCTCCATCRTGGGCGAACCACCCCACCTCCCTCCTGCGGAGCCCTGAACGCAACCGACGTGGGAGAGCAGCAGAGCCCCCTCCCCACAAGCATTTCTTCCCCTGAACTGTATTTATGTACGTGTGTAAGATACAGCCCTGCTTGTCTGGGCCAGCTCTGGCTGGGTGGCCGGTGTCCTTGTCCTTGTCCTTGTCCTTGTCCTCGCAATGCCCACAGCCTGGCAGTGCCCCCACCCCAGCAGCTCGCCCCGGCTGCCAGGACGGGATCCCAGTGCCCTCTAGTGCCCACGGGCACAGGCACCTTCGTGGGCACGGAGTTTGTGGTGGGAATGGACAGTGGCCAAGCTGTGTCCTGGAGTACCGGGGGCTGCGTGACCCCACCAGCTCCAGGTGAGACCCCAGCCCGGGCCTTGGGGGTCCCATCGTGGTAGCCCGGGCTGAGCTCTGGGTCAGCAGCGCTCACTGTCCCTGACGCAGGGCTGCATCATGGCTCAGGTCACYCATCTTTCAAACCCCCGGGAGCTCGGCCTGTCCTGCGGTGACAGCCTGGGGTGCACCAGGTGACATCAGGCGTCACCAGCCGGCTGGGGACTGCCTGGCTTTCGCAATTGCCGCCAACAAACGTCCATATTTTACGTGCTTCCCAACCCGTTTGGGCAAGAGGACACGAGGAACTCAAAGGTGAAGATCTGAGTGGCAGGAAGGGAGGCTGAGGAAAATGAAATTCCCTCAGTATCGCTGAGCCCCCAGAACGCAGCGGCTCCACACAACGACACGATCTCGCCTGAGGGGAACACTGAGCCCCCTCCCGCTCTTATATACCCTCTGCCGGCCGGGATCGGCGGCTCCTGATTGGCGGAGAGCGGCAGCCCCCGGCACGGGATTGGCCAGGGCGGCGCGCGGGCTGCGCGCGATGCCCCGCCCGGCCCGAGGGGGGCGCGMGGGGTTCCCGCCCGAACCCGCGGGGGCGCGCACGGGGGCGCGCGGAGCGGACGAGCGGGGGGACAAACGGAGGTGACACACGGGGTGAGGGGACACAGGGAGGGGGGACACCGGGAGGGACAAACGGAGGGGGGCACACGGAGGGGGACACACGGGGTGGGACACACGGGGTGGGGACACACGGGGGTCCCAGCTCCGCTCCTCCTCTCCTCATGCCTGGACCCACCCGGTCCCTCCCGCACCGATGGCCGATGCTCCGGTAAGGACCCGGTGCAGCGCCCCCCATCCCGGTTAGCCCCGGTACCGCCCCGCCCCAACGCGGAGAAGAGCCCGAGGTGTCGGCACCAAGGCRTTTATTGCTGCGCTCCCCGGGACCGGGGGCTCACCCCGACACCGTTGGGACKCGGGGAGCGCAGGGCGGCGGGAACGGGAGCGGTGCCGCGGCGCTGGCGGGTCCTGGCTGCTGCCGGTGCGGGGGATGCCATCCYGGGGACGGTGTTCTCGGGGCTTTCAGGGAAGCGGGGGATGCGCCGGGACCCGTCCCGGTCAGGGCAGGTGCAGGACGAGCGCGGCGCCCAGCCCCAGGGCGATGGAGAGGAGCGGGGGGCTGGCGCACGGCGGGCTCAGGCTGGCGCTGGTGGCGTTGCTCGGTGCGGCGCCTTTCGGAACGGACTGTTCCTCCGCCTGGCCGAGGGACTGGAAAAGAAAACGAGCTTCAGACATCCCTCCCGACAGCGGCACGGCGAGGAAAACCCTGAGACCCCTCACCTTGAGACCCCTCACCCGAACGCAACCAGAAAACTCCGGTGTTCGCACCGCCCCACCCCACGCAGCACAAACAGCCCCGTGTCCCCTGGCAGGTTCCYCTTCACACTCAAACTCTTCGGTTTTTGCGTTGTGGCAGCGCAGGGGAGGGAAGTGAGCGCTTCCCGGAATCCCTGCCCCGGTTCTAACCGGSGGTTGGCAGAAATTGAGGGGGGAAGTGGAAGCCACGGAGTGGTCTCTGCTCCTCCGGCTGCTGCGAGGAAGTGGCGAGAAGGTAACGAGCCACAGGRCCTGCAGCAGAATTGGGAGGGTGTGGGGCAGAGCTGGGAAATGCCCGGGCTGGAAATGAGGAGGAGGAAGGACCCCTGGCCCCCCGGGCTGCTGCGAAGAGGGAGAAGCAGTCAGGATGGAGATTTCRGGGCAGTCTCCTTCCGTTTCTAACGCTGCCCTGGCTGCTGGAAAAGGGATGCTTTCCCCACTGCCTTACACCCCTCCTTAGGATCCCTCCAGAGATGGGAAAGGACCAGGAATGGAGCCCAAAAACTCTGCTCTGCCCCTTCAAAACCACACTGATTTCCTTTTTGGCTGGTTTATAGACGGGGAAATCCCAAAATGTAAATGCACCCTGTGATGCCAGGAGCGGTTTGTACTTGGGTGGAACTTTATGAGTGAAATAAGCACAAACCTGGCCCTGTTACCAATATCTTGTTGGAAAAAAAAAATCATCCCAAAAGCTGCCCCGCAGAGCATCGTGTTCCCTAAAAGTGCCAGTGGGTGCAAGAGTTCCCACCCAGGAGAGAACCAACATCCCTCAGCACAGCTCTCGGACTGAACCCCTCCATGGAGACCCCAGCAGGAAGGAAAATAATTCCAGTGGGGCGAGAGAAATGAGAGAAAACCACAGATGTGTGTCCATCCAGGCTCTAGAGCCAAACCATCCTCACTATCCCTACTCCGGGCATGGGCTGAGCACGCCGAGGAGAGGCTGGAAAATGGGCTGGAGATGGGAATGGGACTCTCTAAGTTAAAGAAATGCTTTGGAAAAGCACCCTGGGGAAACATTCAGACCTCCCAGCCCACAGCACAGAGCTCCTGCTCACTTAAAGCAAGAGAAAAAACCAAAAGCTGACATTTTCAGCTGAAATCCCAAGTCCCCGCGCTGGCTGAGCCCCCTGCACCCCCAGATTTTGTTCTTACCAGGCACAGGACGAGCAGGGCGAGGAGCAGGAGCGGGCGGGCGCGCTGCAGGGGCGGCATGGCCGGGGCTCTCGGGGTGCTCTGACACTTCCCCTGACACTTCCCCGTCCTCTCCGAGCCTTTAAGCGCYGCAGTGGCACCGATCGCTCCTCCCTTCCCCCAAAAGACCAACCCGGRGCGGGTTGGGGAAGTTTCCCCTGCTGCTTGTGCCATGAGGGACAAGGTGACAGACGTGGTGTGGGGACCTCAAGGCCTTCGAGCTATTTTTTGGCAGCCCTTTCTCCCTCTTCCCTGGCATCTCAAGGAATTTTCCCACCCCAAATCCTTCTTTTTCCACCCCAAATCTTTGTACTTTTATCCCCGATAAAAGGGATAAAAGTACACCCAAAATGTTCTTTTTTTCCACCCAAAATGTTCTTTTTTTTTTCCACCCAAATCCATTTTTCCGCCCCAAATCCTTCTTCTTTTGCCCCAAATCCCAAATAATAACAGAATACAGAAAATTTCTGTTCTCCTGAAGTTGCTGAATAGAGAATAAAGACTAGTTGGCCARATAAGATAAAACGATGTAAAGGTATGAACATAGGACAATAAACGTGGCTGGAAATAATGGAGAAACAGGTAAAAAGGATGATGGTGGGTTTTTTTGGTGAGTTATGTAAACAAGAATTAACAATGCATGCCCGAAGAAAGTTCAAGGAAAGGCTGAACCCCCTCAGGCTCTGCTTCTCCCTGGGGATTCTCTGTCCTCACACCCACCAAGGACTCAGAACAGCTGAAACCCTCCCTGGGAGTGTTTGCAAACTGCAGCCAGCGTTGGAAGGAACAAACCTCCTTCCCTGCAACTCCAGGTGGAGCTGGAGCCACGGCAYCCCTCAGGATTTCAGTCACAGATCCAAGAAATGGGTCAGGGAAATGTTTCCTGGAGCCCCCCAAATCCATCTCCTGACAGCAGATCTCAGAGCAGCGGGGAACAAAAAAGGGATCTGGTTAATTTGAGATTTTTTTTTTTTATGAATAAAGCCACCAGAACGTGCTGAGAACACRCACCTGCTGTCTGGGTTGGTGCTGGTGAAGCATGGTGAGCTCTCTGGCAGCTTCTGTCTGAGCTGAGGGCTCCTCTGTGGATAAACTTCACCAAATTTAGCTTGGTTTTGCTCTTTGGGGAAGTTAAAAAGGAAGTGTTGAGCACAGCCAACATCCCTGGAAGTGTCCAAGGTCGGGTTGGATGGGGCTTGGACCAATTTGGGATGGTGGAAGGTGTCCCTGCCTATGACAGGGGGTGGGATAGGATGAGCTTTGAGGTYCCTTRAGCCCAGACCAGTCTGTGATTCTGTGACCACCCCCTCAAAGGTGGTAAAATTGGGGATAAAACTGGCCGGTCCTGATCACCTCCATCTGGCGAGGCTGAACTCTCTGCAGAGCAGYGCAGAGGCTGCAGTTGGGATGGGGACACCCAGGGAAATGTCCTGGGATGGGGACAAGGGACCAGCTCAGGACATCAGCGAGGCCAAGAGCAGCGCCCAGGTGAGCAATAGGGCTGGAAGAAGCAGGTRAGGGGATCGAGAGGAGCTGTGAGGCGGCTCAGGCCGGGCTGATKTGTACGAACGGAGGCAGAGGATTTGCAGAGCGCGGCTCAAGAGAAAAACGGGACCCGGTCCGGTCCCGGTGCCCCGGRACAGCGCGCGCGGTGCATGCTGGGARTTGTAGTCCTGGGARCKRCCGCGCGCAYCACGTGACCGCATCGGRCCAATCACTGCGGGCCCCGCGTCSCCATGGCAACCGCCCGTCAACAAGATGGCGGCGGGGGGTGAGTGAGGGTTTGGGGAGAAACGCCGGGACCCCTCAGGATCGGGAAACCCCCCCAGGCTCGGGAAACCCCCCGGATTTGGGGAAATTCCCCACAGATTTGGGGAAATTCCCCTCCCCAGATTTGGGGAAATCCCCCCCAGATTTGGGGATCCCCCCGAGGGTCCGCCCAACACACCCCAGGTGCCCCCAGCGCTGCTCCCCCCCGTCAGGCCCTGAGCCCCCCACCAGTCCCCCCTGGGTTATCCCCGTTGTTTTGAGCCCCTTTTTGCTCCCCATCCCTCAAACTGCTGACATGGAGCTCACGTCCTCCCTGATGGAAAAAATCTCCGTGTTGGAACATGAAATAGAGAAACAAGCACAAGAAATCCAGCTGAAGGTAAAAGTCAGCCTGTTCTGTGTGTGTTCTGTGTGTGTTCTGTGTGTGTTCTGTGTCTGTTCTGTGT